CAGGCTGGGCTCAGGCGATCCTTCTGCCTCAGCCTTCCAAGTAGTCGGAACTCCAGGCGTGCACTGCCTGGCTAACTTACAGACCTAGCTGCATTTGCAGACCTAGCAGGCATTGTCCGGGTGGAAGGGAGAGGTGTGGGAGGAGGAGTACAGCACCAGAAGGCCTGACGCTGCAGCAGGAAGGCTGGAGGTTAGACTGTCAGAAGGACAGTCCCGCCTCCTCCCCTTGCCCTCCTGGCTGGCCACAGCCAGAGCAGGCCCCAGGTGTTCTGTCTCCCAGGGCGGTTCCCCCTACCCCCTCCTTGGCTCGCAGCTGTCAGTTTCCATTTCTCCTTCTAATGCAGTCTGCTCCCTGGAGGCTGGTGGGGTGGGAGAGAGGGTTATAGATTTTAATTTTCTCAAGCACTGAGAGAAGGAATGGAATTAGTGCCGCCCATAACCCAAGTTTCCTAACGGGGAAGGGGGAAGAAGCGGGGAGGAGGCTTCAGGCCCCTTCTCCAACCAATCCCTGCTCTAGCAGTCCTTCCTGGAGTCTAACTTTGATCTTTTGTGCTGCAGTTTTTTTGGAGGCGCTGAGTCCCCACAGACTGGTATCCACAGAAGGGAGAAAGCTATACTTTAAATGCAAGCCAGCTGTTTTTCAAGGCTTTTAGCTGCAATTCTGCTGTGTTTTCTTTTTTTCCCTCTGGAGCTGGGAGGCAGAGGGTCTTTCCCCTCCTCCTTTCGGCCCCCAACACTAAGCTGATGGATTTGGCAAACGCTTTGGCCCCTCCCCTTCCTCGGCCCACCTGGCAAGTCTCCTTAGGATCTGATCCCAGCCTTCCGGAAGCAAGCCCACTCCCAGCCCAAGCTTCCCGGAGTCAAGCCTCAATCCTTCCCACTTCTCAGTGTCAGAGCAGAAAGGCGTTCACTGTGTCCATTTGCATGATTAGCATCCAAGAAGCCTCAATGAGGCAGGGGCAGTGCCGGGCCGGCCTCCCTTTCCTGCCCCATCCTAGCGTGCCCTTCTCTGTCTCTCTGGTGGCCCCAGGCGATCGAGTGCATCACGCAGGGACGTGAGCTGGAGCGGCCACGTGCCTGTCCGCCAGAGGTCTATGCCATCATGCGGGGCTGCTGGCAGCGGGAGCCCCAGCAGCGCCATAGCATCAAGGATGTCCATGCACGCCTGCAAGCCCTGGCCCAGGCATCTCCTGTCTACCTGGACGTCCTGGGCTAGGGGACCAGCCCAGGGGCTGGGGGCAGGTAGCCAGAGCACTGGGCCTGCCCTCAGCCTCCCCCATAGCTCCCAGCAGCCCCAGGGTGATCTCAGAGCATCTAACTCACCCTCAGCATGTGGAGGGGACAGTGGGGGCTGGGAGCAGAGGATGCTCCTGCCTTTCCAGGCAAGGCTCCGTCATAGCAATTATATTTATTATCCCTTGGCTGTGTCTCGTGCCATTCTTGGGGTGACGTCGTTCCAGGAGGGGGGTTCTGCGATCCAGGTAGGGAGATGGCTCTCTGAGGTCCTTCTGCACTCAGGTTCCACTTGGCTGCTTACCCCTACCCCGTGCAGCTGTCACTCCCACCTTGTGACTGTCTTGGATCCCTGTCCTGTGGTCCCCTGGTTCACTTGGTGTTGAGGCAGCCTCAGGTCAGGCTTCTCAGGCCTTCAGACCCTAGTGGTCTGTCAGAGATTCATGTTCAGGAAGGCTGGGGCTGCAGTGGGAGGGATGGAAGTTAGATATCCTGGTGGACAGGATGGAAGCCTTGGTGGGGTGTCTTGTATTGGTGTGCCCAGAACAGAGCAAGCACACCGTAGAACAAGGGGAGAGGGTGTGTGTGTGTGTGTGTGTGTGTGTGTGTGTGTGTGTGTGTGTAAAAACACATGTGGCAGCAAGAACAGAGGAGGAGCAGAGTTAAGGACGGGTGAAGGAGGCATGACCCCTTACTCCTTCCCCTCTGGTATCCTTAGTTCCAGGTGCTTTGAGAGTAACTATGAGGCCAGGGGCTGGGCAAGGTGGTGATTTCCTGAGGACAGAACCACCTCCTGTCCCATTCTGCCCAGGGGAGCAGGCGAGGTCTCCCTTCCCCTCTGTCCATTGGAACTCCACTGGCCTTCACTGAATGATCCTGGGCTGTCAGCACTGAGATGGGTAAGGGTCCCCGCCCATCATGCAGGCACCTGAGCCCTGCCTCTGTCTCACCCAACCCAAAGGCTTGCGATCCCCCTGAAGCCAGGAAGGGGCAGCTCCCCCACCTCAGTCCCATCACTTCCAATAGCCTGCACAACTCCTGCAATAACCCACACTCCCCGCAGCTCCTCGGGGCTGATTGCATGGCTGTCTTGTGTCCCTGGGTGCCCTGTCCCCCGCCTCCATGATTCAATCTGGGTCTTATCACCCCTAGGCCTAGCCCAGTGGTGTGTCTGCCTCTTGTCCAGGCTGGTTAGTGCTAATGGAGGTCTGACCCAGGGCTGCAGGCTGATTGATAGGGGGGGTCTGGTCCCTGAGGCCAAGTTCACAGGCCTTCCGCTCCAGCTTTGGGAAGGGTGGGGCTAGGTCGCATCACCCTGTGGGGAGACATCTAAAGCAGGTGGAGCGATTGGGAGGAAGAAACTTGGGAATATGGTGGGGGAGGCAGAGGTGGGGCCGAATCCAACTGGTGAGCCCAGGGACATGCTCAGAGACAGTGCAGAGAGACAGGAACAGGACAGTCAGTCATGGTGACAGGAGAGAGACCGCAGAGAGAGATGCAAAGACCGAGGCCTGCAGACAGAAAGAGAGAAGGATGGAGACAGAGACACAGAGAGAAAGAGAAGGATGGACACAGAGACAAAGACAGAAAGAGAAGATGGAGACAGACACAGAAAGAGAAGGATGGAGACAGATAAATAGAGATAAAAGGATGGAGACAGAGAAAGAAGGTTGGGGACAGGCACACACACAGAGAGAGAGAGAGAGAAGGACACACAGAGAGAGAGAGAGAAGGATGGGCATAGAGACAAAGAAAGAGAAGGATGGAGACAAAGACAGGGACGGAGACAGAGAAAGAGAAGGATGGAGATGGACAGAGAAAGAGGAGGGACACAGAGAAGGAGGGAAACAGAAAGAGAAGGATGGTGACAGACACAGATAGCCATGGAACGCCACTGGCCTTCACTGGACACAGATGAAGAGGCAGGGTCAGATGAATGCTGTAAACAGATACAAGTGGGACAAGCAGCTGTGTCAGAAAGTGTCCTAGCTGGGTTCGGTGGCTCAGCCTATAATCCCGCACCTTTGGGAGGTTGAGGTGAGTGGATTGCCTGAG